ACTAGCCTGGGCAATATAGTGAGACCTTGTCTCCATACAAAATAAATTTAAAAATCAGCCAGTCATGGTGGTATGCAGCTGTGGTTCCAGCTACTCAGGAGGCTGAGGCAGAAGGATCACTTGAGCCCAGGAGATTGAGGCTGCGGTGAGCTGTGAACTATGATCCCGCCACTGTACTCCTGCCTGGGCAACGACACAAAGATTATGTCTTTAAAAGAAAAAAAAAAGGAGCAAGGTTCAAAAGAAAAGCTGCTATATGACATTTGGGTTCATTATACGAGAAGGATCTAGATGACATACACTAAGTTACGCACTTCTGTAGAAATTATCCTTTTTATGGACTCTCAAAAAACATTCAAAGATTAGGGACACTGGGAAAGTTAGCTTTTAGCAAAAGCAAAGTGGCCACCTGTGATCAAATGTCAACAATAACCCTTGGTTCTATGCCTTGTTAACCAATAATCACCCACATTAATACCATTCCAAATTGTAAGTTAAGCAAAAAATTGTGCACTCCCATTTGTGTTTTATATCAACTATAGTAAATATAAGCTTATAAAGACTTTATCTTATAAGGAAATACTTCAGTAGAATTGGCAATCTATATATACACTACAAGAAGATGCGATAATGCATGGTTTACCAAGCATACTGCCAGCCACCAAAATATCGAAGAGTGTGTCCGCATAGCGACGATAATCTAATCTCGAGCCTGTAGAGTCCAGGAACTTGGCTACAGCTTCAAGGTCATCACCAGCTTCGTTAAGCCCCTGGACGAGTGTATCCCTGAAAACTGTGGGTTCAAATTTCTCTTTTTCATCTAAAATAAAAAAATTCATAAAATTATTCCTTTGTGTACATATCATATTCTCCAAAGAAACTAACAGTATATTTCCTTTGTTCACAGGTGTGTATTTGATGTGATTATTTAAAAGTTGAAGGACGATTTAAATTTTTCTATCAGATTTCCATGCTCTGAAACTCCTCGTTTAAACATTTACTCGAATAATTTATTTCTGTTCAATATGGCCACAAAAATATTTAACTCTAGTACGTAATATAATTGATGATTGTTCATGTTTGTCACTTATAGGATAGGCCAATGTAGTCTACTAACCCTAATCAGAGAAAAAAAAATAAAGAGTATAACAATCAAACTTAAAATTTTTATTTCATCTGAGATAGAAAATGATCCACAGAGAACCACCAAAGAATACAGGAAAACATATAAACATAAACAAGAAATAAAGATTGGGAGAGGGGAAATAAGGAGGGATGTCTCTTTTACATGATAATTTATTCCAGAATACTTAATTATTTAATAACTGCCATGAGCTACATATGTATATTTATAGCTTCAGAGCAGATGTTCTAAAGTTTTTGGTCTTATGACCCCTTGACACTCTAAAAGTACTGAGGATTCCAAAGAGCTTTTTTATTTATGGAGATTATATCTATGGATACTTGTTTTACTAGAAATTAAAATGGATAATTTTAGAATATGTATTCATTAACATTGATAGATAAGACCGATATAAAAAGGCATACAACAAAGGCACAAAGGAGCTGCCACGGTGAACTGCACACTTGAGTGTGGAGGAGAGGCAGTACGGTGTGGTGAGGTCAGGATTTGGAAAGAATTGTGGTTTAGGCTCTAGTAAGACTTCTTGTGGATGGTCGTTTTGGAATCAGGCCTTGAACAAAGCAAGGATCATAAATGTTGAAAAGAAGTGAAGATGATAAACCAGAGGTCAGACTAGGAAGAACAAAATGAATATACTAAAGGTAAAGGATCAAAGATTCAATTCTAAGAACATCACCTTTCCCCACCCCGCCCCCGACCCATGGAGAATAAGTCTGGAAGTTGGGAGAGAGGAGTAAACGACGAACCCAACATTTGAAAAGAAAAAACTGTATCATAAATATCTTTAGAGAGCTAAGTGAAGATACTGCAACTAGAAGAAGAAGAAAAGGAGGAAGAGAAGGAGGAAGGGGAAGGAAAGAAGAAAGAGAATACTATAAAAATATTTTATAGGCCAGGCGCGTTGGCTCACGCCTGTAATCCTAGCACTCTGGGAGGCTGAGGCGGGCGGATCGTTTGCGCTCAGGAGTTCGAGACCAGCCTGAGCAAGAGCAAGACCCCGTCTCTACTAAAAAAAATAGAAAGAAATTAGCTGGATAACTAAAACTATATAGAAAAAATTAGCCAGGCATGGTGGCACATGCCTGTAGTCCCAGCTACTCAGGAGGCTGAGGCAGGAGGATCGCTTGAGCCCAGGAGTTTGAGGTTGCTGTGAGCTAGGCTGACGCCACGGCACTCACTCTAGCCAGGGCAACAGAGTGAGACTCTGTCTCCAAAAAAAAAAAATTTATAAACAAAAAAAGAGTTCTTGGGAATAAAAAATAGAAAAGTAAAAAATTCAGGAGTTAAAAGAGAAAGTTGAGAATATCTCTTAGAAACTAGAAAAAAAAAAGGCCAAAGGCTTCAAAAATAATTGCAAAAAAAAAAAAAAAGAAAAAAAAGAAAAGGGCAGATTAGTCAAATATCCAAAAGTTATAATTATAATCAAAAGACAGACTGAAAAAACAAAGTAAAGGATATTACATTAAAAATTTCAGTAAAGTTTTACAGATTTGAAGGATGTGAGTTTCCAAACAACTGGCTGTCTGGGCACCCAGCACGATGATTGAAAGTAGATCCACACGAAGTACATTCATTACAGTGAAATTTAGAATTCTGGGAACATAGCAACTATCTAAGGTTTCTGGGGCAAAAAAACAAGTGATATATAAGTATGAAGAAACAGACATTGAATTGCTCAACAGAAATACCAGAAGCTAGAAGAAATTCTTCAGAATTCTGAGGGAAAACAATTTCCAACCTAGAATTCAAGCTAGCCAAACTTTTAATTAAGGGTAAGAGTAGAGTGAATATATGTATATTAAAATATTTAAGACCTCAAAAATAGTGAATAACTAAGGAGTAAGTCATGAGATCCCAGGAAAAAAGGGAAAAACATGAGACAGGCAATAGTACTTTCATGGATAATGGTGAAAGGACATTTCAAGCATTTCAGGTTGACAGTTCACAACTGGCCTAGACAGCAACCTGACCAGGAGAGAGTTGTTCAATCGAATGATACAATATGATATGACGTAAGAATTCCTTTAATACCATCATTGCCATAACTCCTGAAGTGTCTTGTGTTTAGAGATTTATACAACCACAAAGGGAAAGGTTAGGATTGAATAGTTTTAAGGCACAAAAAACTAAGGGGGGGGAGAAAAATTATTAAATTTATTAAATTCAGAGATAATAAAATGACATTCAGAAAAAGAAAAGCAACCAAATAACAGTTTGTCTGTGAATAGCATGTATAAAGTCACAATAATATAAACCCCAGACAATGGCCTAGCTGAAATTATGACAGAATGAGGGAATAGAGAAGGACAGGAGGTATGCAGGTGGGGAGGGCAGTGAAAAAGAGCCGAACCCTCCCCTTCCACGGTAGTAAGTGCATGCTTAATACCTCCAATAGAAAAACCAAGAAATAGCCACACCGTGTGCATGCACAGCTTTGATAAAATCAAAAACTACATTTAAAAACCACACAGCAACTGCTTACTTTGTACAGGCTGACTACTCCTAGTCATCTAACAAAAGGGATGGGTTGTAAGTGCTTAACACCGATGACATCAGCATCAGAACCAGAGAAGAATGGCATGCCCAGTACCAGTCAGAGTCACGCAGCATACCATAAAGACACACATAAATTAACTGGAACAATATTCATCATGAGCAAGAGATAAAAAGTCCTTTTGATGCTTTAAGCAAAACATTATGCAGCCAAGAACATGCAAATGTTGACTGCAGAAAAAATATAATTAGGGTCTTGTTTTGTAGAGGGGGAGGAAAATGGATGAGAACTCTAGAGGAATATATTATGTGGAGCTGGAGGAGGGGATAACTGTGTCTCTACACAAGAGGAACCCACTGGCAAGCAAGGAAAACCTCACCTCCTACTTCGGGTCTCTAGCTAAAGGGTAATTCTCCTTCCCCCTTGGAGAAAGATATTTTCTTTCCTATAATATGAGAACAGAAGTAAAAGGACTACAAGCTGTTTATTAAGTCTTGTGACCAGCTTCCAAAATCAACTGAGGCCCTCCCACAAGGGCACTACAACATGCTTGGATGTTGACTCAGGTGGTAGAACAGATTTTGACGATTTCGAAAATACAAATGGAGGCATTGGGAAATATAAGTTGGTAAATAAGGAAAATCCCAGACTATGCCAAGAATCCAAGCAGAGGACTTTGTTTTGAATTTAAGAGACAACTTAAACACTTGTTTGTAAAAAGATGTTTATCCTCTCATTATAATTTTCCAAAAGAATTGCCAAGAAATAGAAAAAGGAATATAACATATCATGGCCAAGGATATTTCAACCCACAGCAATAAGGTGTTAGATCAAAATGACCACTTTTGGCTTGGGAATGTTAAAAAGTTATAGTGGCATGATAATTCTTTTACAGAGTGAAAAAAGCTCCCACCTGCTAAGACTAACTGCCCATCAAGAGGAATAGAAAATTCCTATACAAGAGAATGGCAAGAACACTAAATCTTGAACAAGACAACAGTTTACCTAAAGATTCCTATTAATCTGAAACAACAGCACATGCAGCTTGTATTTTATTTGAGATTACTGACACTTAAATATGCCTATACCTTATCTAACTTGCTTACTATGGAACTACAGTAACTGGTTAATATAGCATTTTTCCAATCTGTTAATGAAGTGATAAATAACATAACCTACATTCCTTTATAAATGTCACTGAGGTTATAGTAAATGAATTAAAAATATCATGTATTTTCTAACTACACACATACACACATTTACATATATTTCAAGAAGTAAAGGTTTACTCTGCTAGTTACTATCACCACTTACCATGAATCTAAGACTGATTTAAAACCAACAGCACAGGGCTAAAGTGTGAGGCACAAAACTGAGTACATGGTCACTTCAGATGCCTGCAATTTGGCCATTTTTGCTCTCCTATGTTCACTAATTTTAACCCAATTTCTATAAAAACCCATATAGAAAGGCCAGTTCAATCAATAAGTATTTCATTTAGCAAAGCATAACAATGGCTCGCAGGAGAAATTTTCATTCTTTCAGACTCCCGCAAGCCACAATGGAAAACGTAACAACTTTGGAGCACATGCCATAAACAGGAAGTGAGTATTTCATAAAGGAAAATAGGGCCTGAATGGAGTTCTCTATAGTGTCTCCTATCATAATGTTTACATTTAATGTTAAGCAATAAGAAATACATCGTTATACTAACTTGGCATGCAAGAGCATTAGCTTTGCTAGGAAATAGTTTCAAAGTGATGACAGATCTTCAGAAAATAGCCTATCAAAATGACCTTGAAATACCCTCAGTAGTTTTTTTCCTCAGCTCTACAAAACTGCTAACCGTTTATTTGAAGCCAGCCCCTTTATAACAGTAAAGAAAAGCCATGGCATGATAAATTGTCAGGAGGCAATTCCCTACTATGAAGAGCAGAAAATGAGGTTGACTCAATTTTTTTCTTTCCCCAATCAGCAGTTTGGCACAAAATGGCTCAAGTATTGCTTAAATTCCCAACAGACCTGAGTTATATAAAGCCAGATCAACTGACAAATAATATATATTTCCCAGTAGCTCTCCCTGCATGCTCCAGCAGTACTATCTTGACCACGGAATGAATCAGAGGCAAACCTGTTCACGAGAGAAAACCTTTCCTGTTCTAAACTGAAGACAGACGGTAAGGGCCAGTTTATTTGTTGAATCACATCTGCTGTTGTGCAACACATTCTTGGGCCCTTTCTTGCTCTCAGCTCAGTTACAGTGAATCAGCGTCACACTAATAAAGCCACTTGAGCTGGAGATCCAGGTCTGAGATTAACACGTTCCCTCAGTGGGCAGGCAGTGGAAAACCTTTCTGCGCCTCACGGTTGGGCACATATTAACTATTATCACATTACTAGGTCCCACAATACCTTAACTGTAAATAGGTTTCTGAACTATATTGTTCATTACTGATAAGTCCTTTTGAAATCATCCACGTCATTTTCCCCTCAACACTGCTTTGAACAATGGGACAATGAATGCATTCTGGTTAGCACCTTTTGTTTGATATCTGCTTTCAGATTTCAGTGGGGAACTGGAGTAGGGACACAATTTGTAACACTAAGATGAGGACGAAATGGAGGTGGCTCAGCTATATTTGTACTTATTCACCTTATGGGGATGAGCCAGGAATGAAAAAAAAATAGAAAAAGGAGAGTGCAAGACAGAAATACTGTACAAAATAACCATATTTTGGTTACTTTTACATTTGTTTATTTTCGTTTCTGTGTGTGTGTGTGTGTGTGTGTGTGTGTGTGTGTGTGAACTTAAGGCTTTCCAGCAGGCAGCATACAGTTAAATTCAGTCTATCTGGTGACTCTTGTAAACTCTTATGATCCAAATGATGTTCTGTCTCCTTGTATAGGGACTTTTTTTCTTTCTACATGACTTGCTACTTAAGTGGACACAGCACTGCAAGAGAACATAGGATACAGATGCTGCCTGAGCACCGGCAATGCCAAAGGCATACAAAAGTGGTTTGTCAATCAAACTGTTTGGTACTCAAAGATCATTACATGGGATTATGCTTCAACATCGTTCATTTTACACACGATACTTCCTTAAATATTTCTCAGTCACTCCTTTCAATGTTATTTAACTTAATATACACCATGTTTCCTCTTTGAAAGTTTCCCTAATTGAGCTTCAGTTCAACTAGTCTTTAAGCTAAGAGAACCTCTATATAATTATGCCAAACTGACTAAACATAAAACCATGTTTAAAATGTTCTTTATACAGAAAGGACAGTAAGATGAACATTATATGAAAAAGAGAAGTCACACAAATAGAAACTTTATCAGTCATCAAACTGGGTCTATTACTACTCTCTCCACAATAAAAGACACTTGAAAATATCATGAGTTTGAAGGGTATTTAGGGCAGTAGATTCGACTTGCTAATTCTCAAAAAAAAATCTTCAGTATCTAACTCCCTAACTTACTTTTCTCTTAGCTTTACCATCTTTGCCATCGACACTTTCTCAAAACAACAAGGAAAGCAAAAACCAAATACAAATGCTGATGTCAAAACCGGTAAAGTTTATCAATTGCCTTCGTAACTTCACCAGAGTAAGACAACGTAAACAGGTATAATTATCCCCACTTTGTAAATGGATACATAGCTCAGGCAAGTTAAATGTCTTGTCCAACATCAAACACCTAAGTAACTGGCAATTTGAGGGCTCAAATGCAGAACTTCAGATTCTACATTCAGATCTCAAATTAGTGGAAGTAATGAGGTTAGGTGAAAACAGGGATCATTCAAATTCTTCTCCTTCAATTTTATATTTTCATTAGAAATTTAAACACACACACACCCACACTGATAGCCACACACCCACAAACACAAAATGCAACCTACCCCTTTTCCGAGTTTTGAATCGCTGGCCTGTTAGCACTGGCTTCTGATGCTTATTCATAAAATTTCTGAAAACAAAACAAAAAAAGATTACACATTTCAAACAAGCAGTTCATGTGAAAAATCTGTGGCTAATAAATATATGTTTGACCTCACCCATAACTGAATATAATTTTAAAATGAGATCTAATTTGGACCATCAGACTAACAAAAATTTTTAAGTTTACCAATATTTAGTGTTGGCAAAGGACATAGGGAAAACAACCAGACATCCACTTTGGCATAAAGGTTAAACTCCATGTGATACTTTTGGCAAGCATTTGGTGAGGGTCCGGAAATATTCACACATACATGATCTTGGACTAGCAATACCTTACTGGGAATTCCTATAGTTATGCCCATATAAGAATGCAAATATACCTGCATATGGGTATGTGTAATAGGATTGATTTGAAGCATTGTTGGATACATAAACAAATGGAAAGTGAAATGTCCATAAATATGAGTCTGTATAATTTAGCCACCAAATGGAACACCATGAAGGCTTATGAAAGAATGAATTAGATGTAACTATTATTACATTTCTGGCCCTCACAACCTCTCTGATTATGTGTGCATATTCAACCCACACCTCTTCCCATCACTAACTGAGTTCCAGAAACACTGTCCTCTTTGTTTTTCTTCCAGCAGGCCAGGCAAGGTCCAGTTTCTGAGGTTCTGTACCTGTCTCTCTTTTGGGAAGGATCTTCCCGGGCTGCCCACATGCTTTACTTCCTGCATTCATTGAAATGCCTCCTTTTCAGAGAGGCCTTCCCTGACCATCCCCATGACAACTTCACCCCCCTGTCACCCTCTGTCTTTACCTAGCTTTATTTCTCTCCAGAGGCTTTAGCAGTACCTGACATTTTATTATTATCTATTTGTGGTCTATTTCCCCCATGAAAGTGTAACCTCCAAAAGGTTAGGGACCTTGTAGGTTTTACTAAATATTGTATCTTTAGCACCTAAATACTGAGCAAAGTTTAAGCATTTAATAAATACTTGTCAGTGTTGCTTCACTGATAAGGAAAAATGTTTAAGGCATATTGTTAGTGGGAAAAAGCAAGTTGAATAAAAGAATGTTAAGTACTTGGTTAAAAAGGGGATGCATATAATATATGATTTTCTATGGAAGAAAAATTTAAGAACGATACAAGAAACTGTTAACAAATTTTTAATTTTTTGTTTGCTGCAGTGGATGGGGATATGGGTACGTTATATTCTTCTACTGGATTTAATATACAATTAAAAATATAATAAATTATCTTTTTTAAAAACTATAAAACCTGCTCAAGACCTCTTAATGATAGAGAATAAATAAGTTTGCTGGCATAAATATTGTAAACTGAAAATATGTCTACATTGCTTAAATTAGAAGGCCAAATATTTCAGATAATGTGCATTATTCAAGGATGTTATTACTTTTCAAAGCTTTTAGAAATTGATTGAAAATGTCTAAAGTTTGTCAATTATTTTTTTTTTTATTTTATTTTTTTTGAGACGGAGTCTCACTGTGTTGCCCGGGCTAGAGTGCCGTGGCGTCAGCCTAGCTCACAGCAACCTCAAATTCCTGGGCTCAAGCAATCCTTCTGCCTCAGCCTCCCGAGTAGGTGGGACTACAAGGCATGTGCCACCATGCCTGGCTAATTTTTTCTATATATTTTTAGTTGTCCGATTAATTTCTTTCTTTTTTAGTAGAGATGGGGTCTCGCTCTTGCTCAGGCTGTTCTCGAAATCCTGAGCTCAAACAATCCGCCCGCCTCGGCCTCCCAGAGTGCTAGGATTACAGGCGTGAGCCACCGCTCCTGGCCTAGATTTTGTCAATTATTTACACCATCAAACAATCAAGAAAATTTATAGTATTTAAGTACATTATTTAATTACCTCCCAAAGGTTCTTTAAAAATCCTTAAGAACATGGAAAAATTATTATTTATGTACCAAATCTTCCTTCCCTCCCATGAAAGAAGAGAAACTTATAGCTTCACATAAAAAAAAAAAATTTGTTTATCATTGAAAACTTCAAATTGATTATTTTTTATTTTAAAAATGAAACTAATTAAAGATAAAGTAAGCACAAAAAGTAATTTATTACATGGTTTGAGTAGACATTTTTTTTAATCAATCCTATAAAGTAAAATGAACTTAATACATCATGCTTTGAGATACAAACATCGTTAAGCCAGAACCCATGCCCTCAAGGAATCCAGGGGGAGGGATAAAAACCAAACATTTGCAATACAATGTCGTATCTGAAGCAACAGAAGCACAGACTGGGAGGGTAGAGAAAGTAACAGATCGCTCTATGTGTATAGTTCAATGGCCACATACAGAAATAGTTACAAATGCTATAAATTTAATCAATGAAGTCCCATTTCATTGGATGGGTGTTGGAAATTGAGTTTCTAACACATTATTTATATTCACTGCAAAACTCTTTTCTTCAGAAATTTCCCTATTGGCATTTTCAACACTCGGGATCAGCAAATACTGTATTGGTGCAAAAATGATGACGATATATGGATGTTTCCCTCCTTGTCTCCCCACTTCCACAGTATAATAAATATACAAAATGTATTCTTATGTTAGCAAAGAAAAATATCTGTCAAGAGCTTGGGTCCTGTACCATGATGCAATAGTAAAAATAGAGCTCAGCTAGCCTGAAACTTCTCCAGCAGGTGAACATGTAAGCAAGGAGTTACTCTCTGCCAGAGGTGTTTTTATTTGTTTGTTTTTTTAGAGACCAGGATCTCATTATGTTGCCCAGACTGTCCTTGAACTCCTGGGCTCAACCGATCCTCCTGCCTCAGCCTCCAGAGTAGCTGGGGCTATAGGTGCATGCCACCATACCCCAGCTATAAGATGTTTTTATTTTGTAAATTTAAAAAATTTTAAAGTGTGAGTTCCTCTAAAAGTTTTATTTTGGGGTTTAGCATACAAACTCTTGGAATTCCCTAATTAACTCTATCTTTACACTTTGTTTCTATTTTTTCTGTTAATGAAGAATTACCACCAAACACAGCATATGAGAGAATTACTCTATTTTCAAAACCTTTAGCTTTTATACTTAGTTTACTTCTAAGCACAAAAGTTTGTTTTTTCATAGCCCAGTTATGTGCACTTATTTTTCACACCCTTGATATATTCCATGTGGAAGATAACATAATAACATGCAAACATACAAATGTACTCAAAGATTTTGATATAAATAACACCAAAAATTGAAACAAACAAAAACAAAGGAAAAACTCACCCACTGGTAGTGAAAGACTAAATGAAGATATTCTGCTTACAGAAGGTACCTATCCTTTAGCTGTTACTATTTGGGGCAGAGGCTTGGCTTTCCTCTAAATTTAGCTCTTCACGCTCCTCTATAATCTGCTGCAGTGAGGGTTAGCCTTTATAAGGTACTCCTGAGTCCTTATAAAAGCCCTGTCCTGAGAGAAGCAAGGGCACTCGGAATAAGCAATTTTGCTAGCTTAAACCTGGGAACATAACAAAGAGTAGCAAAGACAGTTCTAATAGGCCACCATCAAAAGCTAACTTTTAGTACATTGCACTACAATTTACAATTTAAAATCAACTAATGAAAACTACATAAGTTAAAAAAAAAGAGTTAAAAAATAAAACAGAATCCTCAAAGACAAATTGGTCTGGGGTACAACTTATGCATCATGACAATTTGGCTTCTATTAAAAAAAACTATAAGCCAAACACAGAAAATTAGCACATGTGCCACCAAAATGAAACAGTTCCAGTTGCAAGGTTTAACATAGTATTAAAAATTGTAGGTAAAATAGTAAACAGAATGGATTGAAAGTATTTCACATGTCATCCAGAGACAACACTTCTTGTATACTCCACAAGGTAAAAGAGGACTATAAAAATACTAAAATGATCCAATCAATCAAAATTTAGAAGGTTGATACTCTATTAGTGAATCAAACATTTTTTAATAAATTCCTAGTTAAGTCTAAATTGAAAGGTTTTTCCATCTAACATATTGGTTATATTTCACCCCACCTTACCTTATTAATCTTGTAATGTCCTATTTCCAGATTCCATCCCTTAACTCCCAACCAGATGGCCCAGGTGCGACAATGGGCCATCAGCATGGATGGATCTCTTGGTACCCGGGCAATAAGCCTCCCAGTTGTCCAGCCCACCTTAAGTGGACTGGCACCTTGTATGCTGACTGTTCATCTTAGCTGATACTCTTCTTTCTTTAGTTCTTTCTCATCATTTGGGAAAGGAACTGATCAACCAGAGAACTTATCTTCTAGTTATCCCCACAAGGGAATGACCATTCTTGCCTAGTAATCTAGGTTTGATCTTATACTCTATTTTTGACTGTTCTGCTGGTTTGGTCCATCTTGAACTATGATAACGTGCCTTGTAGAATATGCTATACAAGTAATTTATGCCATGCATATAATAACTCTGCTGTTCAAACAACCTTAACTTTATGAATATATATATACTCTGAAGCAGAGGTCGCATTTTTCTGTAAAAAAAATAAAAGGAAAATATTTTAGTCTCTGTGAGCTATAAGGTTTCTGTTCAAGCTACCCAATTCTGCTGTTACGGTCGGAAAGCAGCCATGAACCATATGCAAACAAATGATCATGGCTGTATTCCAATAACACTTTATTAACAAAACAAGTGGTGGGCCAGACTGAGCCTGCAGGTGGTAGTCTGTGAACTCCTATTCTAGAGCAGTGTATCCAAAGAACTGCAAGGATGGAAATGTTCTGTATCCACACTGTCCAATATGGTAGCTACTACTGAGTCCTGGAAATGTGGCTAGTGTGACTGAAGAGCTAAATATTTACTTTTATTTCATTTTTACTAATTAATTTAAACTTAAATAGCCAGTGTTGCTAATGACTACCTACATGTTTGGCAATGCAGTTTTAAAGTGACCCTTATGGATCAAAACACCTAAATTTGGTAAAAAGGTAAAAATACATCTAAATAGAAATTTTTAATTAATATTTTTCAAATAAGATAGCTCTGAGGAGCATTTTGCA